CCAGGCCCGTCCTGCCTGCCCCGCCGCTGACACGGAAGGAGGAGCCGGAGAGGAGCTTGGGCTCCGGCAGGTTCCTGGTGGAGGGCAGGGACAGGTAGGTGCTGGCGTCCTCCAGCCTCCTCCTGTCACCCTGCAAGGCAGAGCACAGGGATGGCCCCTGGGCCCCAGTTCATCCCCACGCCAGGTCCCCTGCCTGCGGAATGGGGCAGGGAAAGGAGGGCACAGGCAACGGTAGCTCCCACCCAGCAGCATCCTCGTGGCTCAGTAACCTCGCAGGAGCTGCTGGGGTGCGGGAGCTGGCCCTGGGAACGGCTGATGGGGGGGCAGGGCCTGGGGCAGGAATCCTGCTGGCTTGACCAGTGCTCCTGCCAACAGCATCCAACACAGCTGCTCCCTGGGGACTCCGTGGGACCTGTGCTCCAAGCGGGAGACACCGAATCCCGGCCACTCCAGGAGGACACAAGAACTGGTGGGAGGAGATGATGGGGGAGGCCAGTGGTAGTGGAGTTGGGGTCTTGGCAGCAGCACTGGGGGTGAAATCTGCACCTGAGTGCTGCCACGGGCATGGACATGGAGCAGAACATGGAGCAGGACACGGAGCAGGATGTGGAGCAGGTGACCAGCAAGGTCCTGCAATGTCACCATCACCAACCCCATGGGACATTTCCTGCCTGAACCAGCACGTGGGGTCTCTCCCCACAGCAGCAAAACAGCCCATTGCTTTGTGTCCCTTGCTCTGAAGTTGAAGGGCCTACAGGAAAGCTGGGGAGGGGCTTTTCATCAGAGAAGACAGTGACAGGACAAGGGGTGATGGTTTTAAACTGAGAAATGGGAGATTTAGGTGAGATATTAGGAAGAAATTCTTCACTGTAAGGGTGGTGAGGAACTGGTTGGATAAGGTTTTGTGCAACCTGATCTAGTGGGAGGGTTCCTTGCTCATGGCAGGGGGGTTGGAACTTGGTGATCTTTAAGGTCCCTTCCAACCTTAATGATTCATTATTCTATGAAGATTTAAGATTAAGTTCCACCCAGGAGGACTCCCTGCGGGGACTTCCTAAATGCTCCTTCCATGCTCATCTTCACGGCAGGAACACGGTGTCCAGAGCCAGCCAGGCAGGTGACAACAGGCTGTGGCCACACCCTGAGCCCCCCAGTGCTCGCTTACAGAACAGGGTGTTTGCCTTCCCTGCCTGCAGCCCTGCGCAATGAGCTGCTCCCCTGCTGAAGGTCGGGTGAAGATGGCAAAGCTGTCGTGGCTTTTCTCTCCAGCCCCAGCGACCGGCCGAGGTGCAGGGGGCAGCGCTGAGCCCACCCCTCGGAGGGAAAATGGGCTCAGTTCCAGATATTTCTGGACCAGCATGAAATCAAGAGGTCTGAGGAGCTAAAAGCAGATAATTCACACTCCTCTGGCAAGCACAGATAAAAGATGAAATGGTTTCTGACTCCCAGAATGAAGCCTCAGTGTTTGCTGGGAGGAGCAGGAGTCTGCTGGGAAGCAGGCAAATGGGAGCCCTCAGCTGGCCCCTGCCCCAGGGGGAGGACTCTGGGGACCACGAGGGCTTGGCCAGGGCAGCACCAGCCCTGGGAGCAGAAACACACTCGGGGGGCTGGACAGGGCTGGGTCTCTCTGGCCCAGCAGCACCAGCAGGTTCCCAGGACACTCAGTGCTCCTGCCACTCGTGGGCTGCAGGGGGGATGGTCCCTCGACAGCCAGGGTCTGCCTACAGCTCTGCAGGCCATGGAAGGGTTGGTAGAGTTGGGGACTTGTCCTCAAAAAGAACATGGATGAGGGACACGGTAGCAAATGTGGATGTGTGGGAGCTGCTGGGGAGGAAAACTGCTGATGAAACATCTGAAGGGAGGTTGGAGAGAGAAGACGTCAGTCTCTACTCCCAAGGAGCAAGAGATGGGACAATAGGAAATGCCCAAGGGGGGTTGTGATTGGATCTTGGGACCCGTGGCAGGAGGCCCCACCGCCAGGGACATAAAGGACAGGAGGGACTGGGAACCCTCCAGGGAACACTGGGTATCTGCCACCCATGTGGCAGTGGGGCAGGGATGGGGACCCCAGCCCCATGCAGACAGCTACCAGCAGAGCTGCCTCACAGACCCCAACCCTGAGGGGCTCTGCCCCCCATACCTTGTACAGCACCAGGTCGTGCTCCCCGTCACGCAGGGTCGTGCCGTCCGCGCGCATCAGCCTCACAAAGGCCATGGAGAAGATCCGCTCGCTTTTGTCTTTGGCTGGGAGAGACAAACCCGGGACATATTGGCTCTGGAGCAGCCCGAGGCCGTGGGCAGGGGAAGGGCAGCAGCAGGTCAGGAGGGGTTGCAGGGAAACCCTGTGTCTCTTCCTGGAACCACAGGCTGTGCCTGTGCACAGCGAGACCCCAGGTCCTTGGGACACACAGGGGAAGCAGCTGCTGTAGCCGCTGGGAACCTTGGAGGGGGGCAGATGAACTGAGGCACAGCCAGAGGAGTCACCAGCGTGTGCTGCCCAGGCCAGCAGAGAGTGGAGGGTGGCCTGGGAGCCAGACAGGCTCAGGTCAGGCAGAGACTGGGGCAGGCAGGGCTTGTCCCATGGCCTCGCTACAGCCAAAAGCCAGAGGATGTGGAGCAGGAGTTCAAGAGCCAAGCACAGGCACCCCAGGAGCAGCTGCCTGTGAGAAGCAGCAGTTCCCAGGGTGCTGCCACCTCGGGGATGGAGCAGAACGGGGGGGGACAGGTCCCTTCCTCCCACCCCTGAGTCCAGCATCCCTGGGGCACCCCTGCACAGTGCAAGACAGGGACCATGGAGCTGCAGGCAGCCCACCCCCCACCTAGCCCCTGCTGGGAAGGTCCCTGGAGGAAGGGCAGAAGAAACTCACAGTCACTGGAGGAGCGATGCCGGAAGGTGAACCTCAGGTGGGTCTTGTGGACATCTTCAATGGGAACAGCAATCTGAGGGAACGTGCACCCACATGAGCCACCCAGCTGGCCAGGACCTCCCATGCTGGGGCTGAGGCTGTGCAGGGCTGGACCCACACCCATAGACTTGTCCCTTCAGCTAACGAGGCTGAACTGGGGACCCGGTGTCTGTGTGTGACCATGAGAGGTGCCCGGAGCCCCTGTCCCAGCACTGCTCCTCAGAAGGGCAGCTGGGATTGTCTCCTGCTGTGGGACCAGCTGCAGGTCACCCTGTGTCTCCATCCAAGAGCCAGGCTGTGACCCCAGAAGCATCTCCCGCTCTCCCCAAGCCGTGGACTCCATCGCCTCAAAAGCCAGCCCTGGCAGGGAGTCCCTCCAGCAGCTCAGTCCTGCTCCCCTGGAGGCAGCTTTGGGGGGTCGCAGCCCCTGTCCCACCTCCGGCCCCACGCCCCGAGGCTGGTGCAGACCTTCACCGTCTCCATCCAGCGCTGGTGCCGCTGCTGGTAGTACACAACAGAGCGGTACTCGCTGGCCGGCTTGTCCCCCGCGCCGTGGTAAATCACGTTCTGCAGAGAGGGTGGCAGCAGGAGAGACCCTCGTTCCAAAGGGGCTCCAGTACTCAAAGAGGCTACTCCAGCTGCCCCAGTGCTGGCACTGGCACACCACAGAGCTGCTGCCTCCGCCTGGGGTGGGTGGCGAGAGGGACAGTCCCTCAGGCCCCGGGCAGACCCGGCCGTACCTGCACCACGCTGCCCGCCTCGTCGCAAACACACACCGTCACCTCCACGTTCTTCTGTGTCTTCTTGTTCCCCTTGTCGAACTCTCCCTGCACCAGTGTCAGGTAGATGTCGTTCCTGACATCTCCTGTGGGAAAGCCCCGTCAGCCAGGCCGGCTCCCCCCCACCAGGCACCCCGGGACCCCACGCTGGGACCCGCAGAGCCCGTGCAGGGAGGGTCCAACGCGCAGCCCTGGCTGCCTGGCATGATGACCTCCGGGTAGCCCAGCTTGCGCGCCACCACCGTGCTGCGGTCCACCAGGTGGGGATGGTCCTTCCGCACCTGGCTCAAGTCTCCCGAGAGCATTTTCAGGGACACCCAGAACCCTGCGGGGGGCAGAGCTTGGGACATGGGCCCCATGGCCACACCAGCTCAGCCCGAGCCGGGGGGGCGGCAGCCACGGGTGGGCAGCTCCTGTGGCAGCGGCTGCCCCTCCTGGGCAAAAGCAGCAACCACAGGGAGACACGGTGGACTGGGGAGGGGTCTCAGCTCTGTCCCTCAGTGCAGGGCAGGGGGACACAGAGGCTCCACCTTGTCCCTTGTGGTTGATGTCCTTCCCCTCCACTGCTTTCCTGATCATGTTGTGAAGAAAATCGTTGTCAGCAGCTGCCCTGTGAACACCAAAGCGGGCGGTTCTTGGGCAGCTCCCACCAGGGCACACTGGGAGCCCCACGGCTGCCCCTGCCACCGGGAACCAGCCACCAGGAAACAGAACAGCACCTGGACCCTCTGCAGCTCCCAAACCCCCCAGCCCCCATCCCAACAGGAGGGAGGCTTAGGATGGCATCCACAGGGGACCTGGGACCCTAAGCAGGCACATGCCCCGAGGGGCCAGGAAGCAGAGCTTGGGGGTCTCCAGCAGCCCTGAGCACATCACTGCCCATAGATGTCCCCTTTAAATGTCACCGGGGTCAGGGTCTGGGGACATTGTGGCCTGAAGGACCACAGTCCCTTTGCAAGGCCCCATTTAACAAAAAAATCTTTTCTCCTTGATCCTGTGTCCTCCTCACAGCCACTGTCCCTGTGCTCAGAGTCCTGCTCCCCTGCCTGCTGCCCCCCACCTGCTGTACCCCCCACTACCCCCTGCCCAGCCCCACAGGACTCACAGGTGCACGGGGATGAAGTATTGCTTGTCCTCATCACTCTCACATTTCCCCTTGATGATGTCCGTGATGTCCATCACTGCAGTGGCACAGAGGTGACAGAGTGGGGTGGCTGCCACAGGTGCCACCAGTGCCAGGGCCCTCCATGCCAAATCCTCCCAGCACCAGCACCCAGGAAACACAGGCTGGGACACAGCACTGGGCAGCAGCACTGGGAAGGCCCCATGCTGGGACACAACCTAAAACCACCTGCCCCTCAGGCTTGTCCCTCTGTGCCCTGTGCTTCTCCTGGGTCTCACAGTGTCCCCTCCAGCCATGCCCCGCCGGCGCATGGGGGCGTGTTGGCCATAACTAGACAGTCACACCCCCCCTACCCCCCCGCCCAGAGTTCCTGGGCAGGTTTTTGGCCAAGTAAGTCCCATCAGAACCTCTCCATCACCTAGGACAAGGGGTTGGTGCAGGAAGAACTGAGAAATACAGTGGGCACCAGTTTCATCTGTCCAGCCCCTCCGTGGGGACATGCTCAGCTTGGAGCACAATTAGCTACCAATATGTTCATAATTACTCCATGGCTGAGCTCCTAGCACATGCTAATTAGCCAAATAAAATCAATAATTTCCTAGCAAGCCCATTGATGGAATCAATACCCAGAGCAGGACCATGGATCAGGGTCGGGGGGGAAGTCCCCACCTCCCCACTCTGGCTGGGAATGGCACCATAGGGGCCCAGGGCT